GTTATAAAGGAACTACAGCACGGTCACATGACTTCACGTCACCACCACTAAACTAAAGGAGGCTAATGTTGGGCTATAAAGGAACTACAGCACGGTCACATGACTTCACGTCACCACCGCTAAGCTAAAGGAGGCTAATGTTGGGCTATAAAGGAACTACAGCACGGTCACATGACTTCACGTCACCACCGCTAAGCTAAAGGAGGCTAATGTTGGGCTATAAAGGAACTACAGCACGGTCACATAACTTCACGTCACCACCGCTAAACTAAAGGAGGCTAATGTTGGGCTATAAAGGAACTACAGCACGGTCACATGACTTCACGTCACCATCGCTAAGCTAAAGGAAGCTAATGTTGGGCTATAAAGGAACTACAGCACGGTCACATGACTTCACGTCACCACCGCTAAGCTAAAGGTGGCTAATGTTGGGCTATACAGGAACTACAGCATGGTCACATGACTTCACGTCACCACCGCTAAACTAAAGGAGGCTAATGTTGGGCTATAAAGGAACTACAGCACGGTCACATGACTTCACGTCACCACCGCTAAGCTAAAGGTGGCTAATGTTGGGCTATAAAGGAACTACAGCACGGTCACATGACTTCACGTCACCACCGCTAAGCTAAAGGAGGCTAATGTTGGGTTATAAAGGAACTACAGCACGGTCACATAACTTCACGTCACCACCGCTAAACTAAAGGAGGCTAATGTTGGGCTATAAAGGAACTACAGCACGGTCACATGACTTCACGTCACCATCGCTAAGCTAAAGGAAGCTAATGTTGGGCTATAAAGGAACTACAGCATGGTCACATGACTTCACGTCACCACCGCTAAGCTAAAGGTGGCTAATGTTGGGCTATACAGGAACTACAGCATGGTCACATGACTTCACGTCACCACCGCTAAACTAAAGGAGGCTAATGTTGGGCTATAAAGGAACTACAGCACGGTCACATGACTTCACGTCACCACCGCTAAGCTAAAGGTGGCTAATGTTGGGCTATAAAGGAACTACAGCACGGTCACATGACTTCACGTCACCACCGCTAAGCTAAAGGAGGCTAATGTTGGGTGTGATGGGTTTTAGTATTTATTCCTGCAGCACTTTATTGGACCAGTTCATGTTTACCAAATCAAACAGATTACTTTTGAAAGCAACAACCTCTCAAAGATACTTGCCTGTTTATTTACTTATATTGTAAGATTTTAAGCAAAGGCGTTACACGCATTGACGATCTTCAGCATTTCTTTAAAGTGTGCACACCAGTCAGCTATCAGAAATCTCTGACCTTTTCCTGACTATCTTTTTCCAAATGAGTGCTTCATCTCACAATATGCCAGAGCAACTAAAAACCTCACATATGCACGGTTAGAAAAGTGATTTATCATGCACCCTGTTTACAGAGTGATTCATCTCCACTGATGTGTGTCTGACGTTCTGCATCCACGGTTTTTAGCAGTGTTCGAGTGCCAAAAGGTCACGGAGAAACTCAACTGTGAGGAAAACAAAACATTATAGCTGTCAGGAATCCTTTCCACAACAGCAGCCTCAGGTGAAGGGATGTCAGAAATTGAAGGGGGAGAATTCTACATGGATATCTTCAGGAACTGACTATGAGCAACACAGAAGCTGGGTTCATTTGTATATTTCTCTACCTACGAAAGTGCTATTTTGAGTGTAAAAGTGGGGTGGCCGACAGCTGCAAACACATTACAACGACCCAAAACTCTTCCATTAGTAGAAACAGAAAGGATGCAGATATAAAAACACACATGTTCCAAAACTCATGAAGAAACATCTTCAGCCACTTGACAATACATGCAGCATTTAGAAAACATTCAGCAACTTGAGGAGACATGCGCAGAATGTTGTACTAAGTTGGTGGTGCAGGTTATCTGTCCATCCAGCTGGAAATAGATTGATTCTACTAAATGCTATAACTCTTTATGAAATAACACAACTTTGGTTTAAACTTCTATTTGTTCTTTCTTACCAGAAGGTGATTAAGTGTGGACTACATTTCCACCACACTATGCGTCAGCAGCTCATTACAATACTTGTATGTGAGTCACATGTTATCTGTCCTATGCATGTAGTCTGGACACACACACACACCACACACACACGCACACACACACACACACACACACACACACACACACACACACACACACACACACACACACACACACACACACACACACACACACACACACACACACACACACACACACTGATGGATGGCTGTCCCTGGAGGAGGTGAAGGAACATAATGACTGTCAGGTCTGACCTATCGACAGCAGCAGAGTCTCGATGCACTGCCGCAGCGCCGCTCACATTAACAGGCCGTTCGTCTCGTTTAAAGTGAAACCTTATTCCAGCAAAAAAAAAGTAATGACAGATAATTGAAATTGATTAACATAGAAGTGAAACGTTAAAATGAATTTGCATGAATCAGGGAGGCTATAAATATAAATGCTAAGTTTAGTGCTGTCCTGCTAACCCTCAGAGTGCTGTAAATTCATGGTTTTGTGCTGGGTGTATGAGGGTTAAATTAATGGGGTTCAGTTTATGTGAGTGTGACTTTAAATCTGGATGAAGATTCGCGGGGTTTATTGATGTGTATAAATAGAGGTGATACATAAATTAACATCATTGAGATTGAGGAATCAGGAGAGGCCACTTGTAAGTGTGATTATTATATTGAATGTGATTGAATGTGTATGGGATATGTGTGATCCTAATTAGTGTATTGTTGTTGTCCTTTTTTCTTCTAAGGTTAACAACCTATTTAGATTTGATTAAATCATCAAAACTAGGAGTTGTTTCCGTCCATCTTGATTCCACCCATACTGTCGGGAGATAGACAGTACACTCAGAGAGACATTTCTTCTGCGTCTGTAATGCGGACACATTGTGTACTTTACAGCCTTAATACCACATGCTATATGTTGTCTTAACAGAAGTGGAGAAAGAGGGTATGAACGACAGAGAGGTCGGGTTGAAGAGAGGATGTTTTTCCTCACAGACATCGAGATAAATGATATAATATTCTTCAAGTGACATTTCAAGGACAATGTCAGTATTATATATTATAATTCAAGCTGACATTGCGTAACTTTCGTCCCGACCGGTGGGGTCAAAAGGTATTAATACACCTATGTGTCGACTCGGTAAGTCAACCCAGGGTTTCTCAGGAAGAACAGTAGAACAATTTAATATCACTGCCCCATCTAAAATCTCACTTTAATTAGTGTTTCGGCAACGTATGGCAGCTATGTTAATATCTGAAACGCTAGACTAGAGTATATCAACTGTACTTTACTCTTACATTTTAGCTATGAAAACAGACCAGTCGCAGCATCTCTTGACTCCTCCGCTGCACTCTTCTCTTGAATAGCGACACAAAGACAATTAGTTCCATTCCAGAGTCAAAAATCGGATTTCCTCATAACTTTAACGCCTTTATTTCCTCTTAGAAAGAGAACCATGCAGCAGGTGGGCTTTGTTTCTCACACACACACACACACACCCACACACACACACACACACACACACACACACACACACACACACACACACACACACACACACACACACACACACACACACACACACACACACACACACACACACACACACACCTCTACTCGACATGTGTCCATGCTTTAATGTTGTAGAGAAACTCTGTGTGGAGGGAACACAGGGATGTTAGCCTTTGAAGACCCTTTACATGCACTAAAACACACTACAGGAGGGGAAAACACAACAAAGCAGAATAGGGCTGGATTCAAACTTTATTTTTAACCACTTCAGTTTGTGCTTAAATCAGTTTGGCTTAGCTTCTCTGCTTCCAGTCTGTGTGGACTAGCATTAATCAAATGACCTATATAGACCCCAGGCAGTGTGGTAGGTTGGTGTTGGGGGGGTTTGAGGCCTGAGGCTGAGGGTCGCGTGCGGGTCGATTCCCTGACAGGTGGGGGGGGGGTTGTGTGCGACAGTGTGTTGGTATAGCTGCATGTAAAGCAAGAGGCTCCCTCCGTGAGTGGAGCCAGGCTGTTGAACACCATGTCACGTCTCCCTGCGTCCAACCGGCCAACAGGGGGGAATTAAATCAGGGACATGCACCGTGCAGCCAATCAATTCACACCTAGAAACACACACTCACACTGCTGCAGAAACACAAAGGAGAGTCCGGAAGATTACAGAGCGAATACAAATCGCATGGAGCGTCGTTCGCCTTTCATTTAAGGCAAAATTCTTCATGTTCCAAATTCTGAAGAACATGAATCAACACCACACAGAGCCGAGCTTGAAGGGCACACAAAGACCCGGAAGTACTTTACTGTATCATATTATCTTCAATGGAGGTATTGTATGATCAGTATGACAGATGAACAACTAAAGACACGCTGCGGCATGTGTACAGCTCCTTATGGGCATTGCACCCCCGAAGTTTGGTCTACTTTCAAACTGGAGCCTCTGCAGAATAATTCATCTGGACTGTAAGGACACACACCTGCAGGAGATCTGCTTTCTAACGACCGGTTTGTAAAGAACTGAGCAGAGACACACGTGTGTTTCAGACGGTCCCATTTGTGGGTTTGCTTAATGCATTTAGAAAAGCTTCCTGCGTCCCGGTGTTACTTTAAGGAACCTGTTGTGACTGGGGGGAACGCTGTGTGCAGCTGCTCTTAAACCAGCTGTTGTTTCATGGTAAGAGACGATCCAGCAGGTTTGTTTTCCTGCAGGCAGCGTCTGAGAGCAGCTCCATTAGAGAATATTGTTTTAAATTGCAGACTGAAGAGAGGAGAAATCACAGGATGCAAAACCTCTGCGTCAGCAAAGCAGCTCTACATCCCGCTCATTCATGCCACGTGGAAACGTCTGAAGTAGAAACGAGGACGCACATCAAAGAGGGGGAAACAACATGTATTTTGGGCCGAGGACGAGGTGCATGAATATCTGACAGGAAGTGATGTGCACTCACTTGTTTTGGTGCTTGGAGCCCTGCAGGTGTGCGTGGTACTGAGCCACCGAGTTCAGAGTGACGCTGCACACTTCACATGTGTAGCTGCGCTTCAGACCTGAGAGCAAACAGAAACACAACATATATATAATTAGATATATATAATACTTTAATGCGCATTCGATCTGGGATTAAACACCTGTTTTAAGTTAGTTTTCTGTTATAATTATTAGGGATGCACGATATTGTTTTTTTGAAACCGATCCCGATAACTTCCTGCTTCTCAAGACCGATACCGATAACCGATAATAATATTATATATATATATATATTAAATGTACCTGTAGTTTTTGCACACCTGGTGGTAACAAAAGACTAGTAGTGAGCAAATGACATGAGCGTTACTACTATGAACAAAACTAGCCCTGGGGTCGTCTCTGGCAAACTTCTTGCCTTTTTCAAAAGCCTCGTCGATAGGTAAAAGCCCCGGTGCCTTTGCAGCTGGCTTTGGATTCGCCGCTAGTTTAGCAGCGCAGGCGTCTTCGTACGCTTTCAACACACCATCGTAGCGATGGCGATGTTTCAGGTGACTAATCAGGTTGGAAGTATTATAGCTCGTTGCCTTTCTCCCTCCTCGTGGAACTTCTGCATTTGTTAATACAAATAGCAAGCGAACTATCTAACTCTGAAGCTTTGAAATAGTCCCATACTACCGGCGACATGTTTGTTTACTGTCCTGGCTTCACGGCCACACACCATTTACGTCACAGCCAGGCATGAGTTAGGGAGCGCTGGATTTGTGAAGAACTCCCCTCTTCCTAAACCACTAATACCACAGTACTGGCAAAACGGGAGGAGCCGAGTGAAAAACAAGCGCCCCTCATCCCAATCCACCCACACCGCAGTATCTCTTTCTTTTTTTTACCCAAAAAATATATTGTATATTATCGGGGCTATTAATACTGTTATCGGGTTTATCGGGATGACGTCATAATTCCTAATATCGGACCGATAATTATCGTGCACCACTAATAATTATATATTTATGTAGCTTTTTATCAATACACTCATTGTTTTGTTTAATAAAAAGAGTTTAGGGGAAGCTAGGACCCTTTTTTGTATGAGTAGCTATATTAAAGTTAGCTTTGTAACTTTGTAACACTCGCGTTTCTATTGGCTGGCGCTCTAACACATTGTACGTGATAAGGGGTTAAGGGGCGGGACATCTCTAAGCAGTCGACCAATCACAACAGAGCCGGCCAGCTAACCGATCAGAGCAGACTGGGCTCTTTCAATTTGTATTTGCAACATCAACAAGGATACATATTAAGAAACAAAGAAACAGACATTCAACATAACATTACAATCACTCGAGACGATACGTTCGAGACTCTTTAACGTACATTTGATCTGTGATTAAGCTCTGGATTTAATTAGTACGAATGCTATGTAACGTCGTCACCATGGTAACCTTTGATCTCAGGGCTTACAAGCACAGGTGTTTGATAACGTCGTCACCATGGTAACCTTTGATCTCTGGGCTCACACACTGGTGTTTGATAACGTCGTCACCATGGTAACCTTTGATCTCTAGGCTTACACACACAGGTTTTTGATAACGTCGTCACCATGGTAACCTTTGATCTCTGGGCTTACACACACAGGTGTTTGATAACATCGTCACCTCAAGCACAAACACACAGGGTGTTTCTCAATGTCGAGGAAGGCTCCTCCAGAGCCACTATTTCAAGGATGCTACGTCATCGAGTCCCGCCGAAGGACTGTTCCGATGTCCAGGATCCTTGGAATTCTACCGAGGCCGGCGTCCTTCGTTGCGGGAAATTTGGAGGCTGCACATGTGTATCCTCTGCGGTCTTAAAATCCCCACAATGCTTTGCGCACGGACCAATTTCCCAAATCTTTGGCGGAAATCGTGCTCCATTTAAGGCGGGGCCTCGCATATGACGCACACCTGCACACCTGTTAGCCTGTTCCACAACTCTTCATTTTCCGAGGCTAGGAAGGATTCTTGCCTCACTTCTGAAGGACCTGACTCGGAAGACGTGTCCTACCAAGGAACCGTCCTCGACATTGAGAAACACCCACAGACTGGACTTTAACAGACTGTCTCAGCCTATTATTTTCTGTCTGATGGAGACTTCATACTGACTTCAACATGTTCCACATATTTTATACATTATTGGTGACTTTTGATTTTAGTCCAAAAGTTTGCAGTCAAAATATTCTGCTGCTTTTCAAAGCCTTTTTACTTTCTTTTCTCGTCTTAATACACATTCATTCACGACTACTTACATTTAACATCTAACTCCTTCTGCCTACTTTCAGCTGCAGAAACCATTCAACTAATACATGATTCAGCTATTTCAGGACATCAAGGCTATACATGTTGCTGTTTATACCTTTTTAAATATTTTCTTTGAAATATTAAGCTTCTTCACTGTTTTTCCTCCTCTTCCAGTTTAACATTTCACTTTCAAGTTTTCAACAAAGTCATTGCAATGCATTTGAGCTGTAACAATTTGATTCAAATCATTTCACTGTTCTGCATTTCTCCGCTAAGTTCAGCAACACACTAACTTGGTGTCTGTGGCTAAAAGCAGCTTCCATTCAGCGAATAACATATTCCGCTTTTTCTGCATTTTCAGCTAAATTCAGCCACAAATGTTCACAGTTTACAACATTCACACGCATTTTCAGCAGGAAATGCATTTTCTAGTTGTACCCTGTATCTCTGATTTGATTGAAAACAATATTAATACGTTATTGATATGTTATAATAGAAGATCTCATTAAAGCAAGTATTCCTTCACTTTTGCCCCATTTAATGCCATAAAGTCTTAAATCAGTAATGAAAACAACTCGTGCCGTATGTTGCTGGATCTGTCAGATTGATTTGGAGTCAACAGAATATAATAACGTGTTATGAATCGGCAGCAGGTATTAACAGCCTGTGTACTCGCTGTCATGTTGTAATCATATCATTGCAGTTTGAATAATGGCCGCCCTGATTGCCTCGCTCTGCCAATCGAGTTAAATCCACCACGAAGACGGCTCCCAGCGAGAGGCAGGAGGAAACAAATGTCACCCTGCACCCATTGAATTACATCTCAATATCCTCCTCCATCAAATACACCCTGAACCACGGTTTCTATAAATATATAGTACTTTATCAGAGGTGGGAGAAGTACTCAGATCCTGTACTTGAGTAAAAGTACTCAGATCTTGTACTTGAGTAAAAGTACTCAGATCTTGTACTTGAGTAAAAGTAGAAGTACTCAGATCTTGTACTTGAGTAAAAGTACTCAGATCTTGTACTTGAGTAAAAGTAGAAGTACTCAGATCTTGTACTTGAGTAAAAGTAGAAGTACTCAGATCTTGTACTTGAGTAAAAGTAGAAGTACTCAGATCTTGTACTTGAGTAAAAGTAGAAGTACCAGAGTGTAGGAATACTCTGTTACAGTAAAAGTCCTGCATTCAAAATGTTAGTCAAGTAAAAGTATTAAAGTAATTGCACAATTACGGAATACTTTTTATAGTATCCTGATTACGTTATCCCGTTACATGTGATCTATTACTCCCGGCAGTGTCCTGTAGGAACTGTAGAGATATTGACGTCATTAAAGGTCTGCCATTATACTATTTTTAGGCATATATTATAGGTCTCAAATATATACAAATAGATAAAAAGCATGTCTATGAAGTGAACAGATCATTCTAGCCTCAGACCCTCTATTTCAGCCTGTTACTAAAGAGCTGAGAGCTTAGCTCTGAGTGTTAGCATGCTAATGGAACACAGACCATATCACTTCCAGAACACGTCGAGGCCGCTCTCTGCAGCTGCCCTTTGACAGCTTGCTTCTCAAATTATTTCTGAAGGGGCGATGGATCTCAGCGAGGCTCCTTGCAGCTGCAGAGCTCCCCCTCATCGCCTCCTGCTCTCGACGAATCGTTTGATTTGTTTAACTCGACCCTCATCGTAGTTTGCGAGAGCAAGCAGAGGAAGAAAAATGACTCAAATATCTGAGTAAAGTTGGACACGTTTAAAAGAGTTTGTGGAGGGGAGGAAAATGCTATCTGAAGTCTTATATCTTACATAGGTACGTTTTGGAAAGTAGAACAAAGCGAACTTGAGGATGTTTCACAATACATCCCGAGGACAAAAAGAGTCCAAACTTTATGACTTCTAGAAGTTCTTATTTACAAATCCTTGTAGTGCTAAAAAAAAAACAGCCCTTTATGTTGCATCAGTTTTGGAAAAGTACTGATGACCGATCATCTTTAAGAGGACATTTCCTGCCTATGTTCAGGTGTGTATCAGTATGTAGTGTCTCTACTTTAAAGAGTCCTCTCCTGCTGATGTTCAGGTGTATATCAGTATGTAGTGTCTCTACTTTAAAGAGTCCTCTCCTGCTGATGTTCAGGTGTATATCAGTATGTAGTGTCTCTACTTTAAAGAGTCCTCTCCTGCTGATGTTCAGGTGTATATCAGTATGTAGTGTCTCTACTTTAAAGAGTCCTCTCCTGCTGATGTTCAGGTGTATATCAGTATGTAGTGTCTCTACTTTAAAGAGTCCTCTCCTGCTGATGTTCAGGTGTGTATCAGTATGTAGTGTCTCTACTTTAAAGAGTCCTCTCCTGCTGATGTTCAGGTGTATATCAGTATGTAGTGTCTCTACTTTAAAGAGTCCTCTCCTGCTGATGTTCAGGTGTATATCAGTATGTAGTGTCTCTACTTTAAAGAGTTCTCTCCTGCTGATGTTCAGGTGTATATCAGTATGTAGTGTCTCTACTTTAAAGAGTCCTCTCCTGCTGATGTTCAGGTGTATATCAGTATGTAGTGTCTCTACTTTAAAGAGTGCTCTCCTGCTGATGTTCAGGTGTATATCAGTATGTAGTGTCTCTACTTTAAAGAGTCCTCTCCTGCTGATGTTCAGGTGTATATCAGTATGTTGTGTCTCTACTTTAAAGAGTCCTCTCCTGCTGATGTTCAGGTGTATATCAGTATGTAGTGTCCCTACTTTAAAGAGTCCTCTCCTGCTGATGTTCAGGTGTATATCATTATGTCGTGTCTCTACTTTAAAGAGTCCTCTCCTGCTG